ATCTCCCCAGTAGAGCCTCAAATGTACAATGGGCTAATGTGCTGGAGTGTGCATGGGTCCTTCTGCATCTGGCTTGGTCTCTAGCTCTGTGAACATGGATGGGTTCGTGATCACTGGGAAATGTCTTAACCTGGGGTGGGGATCCTGTGGGGCTGGAACAGAGCAGACCCACCACATAGCCTGTGCTCAGTGGTCACAGGAAATGGGACTTTTGGCATCTTTCTGAGCTCATGTGGTCTAAACAGATATTGAGTGCAGCTTTTATGGAAAATCAAGTGTTTTAAGGAATGGTAACAGCACATATCTTGGATACAGACGGTCCCTATAGAGGACCTGGGTCCAAGTGACTGTTGCTGGATATTTGATCATACTGTGAAACTCTGAGACTATTAATAAAATTAACCTTGGATCAGGGGGTGGAGCCGGTGACTCATTGACAGGAATTAGCCATAGAGAAGACAGAGGAGCCAGGGACAGGCATAAAAAGACACATGGGATAGAGTTGGGAGGGACTTAGACATTTGCTGTCATTTTGGGTTTGGGGCAGAAGGAGAGGCTCTCTCTTGCTGGGTCTCCGGCCAAAAAGGAAAGTCAGCTGGTTGCTTCTCAGCTTCTCTGATTAGCAGATTTTCACCCCAAAATCTGACTCCAGAGTCTTTTTGGTAAATAGAGCAATTTATATAAAAACATGTGTCTTTATAAAGATAAAAGATCAAAGAATCAGGGAGACAGCAGGACACTGAGCCACGGGCAAGGGGCAAAAGCCCCACTGCTCCTTCCGGGCTCTCCCACTGCAGACTTCACTAGGTGACTCCAGATGGACTAGGGAACATCTCTTTCATTGTAGATGGGACAAACTGGTCTAAGATTCCTCCCAAGTGCTTTCTCAAATACTGGGCAGAATTAGACTTTTAGACATTTAAATTTAGAAAGCCTGATTTTCTTTTGTCAGGAAGCATGGCTCCAGTATCCTCTGGGATGTTTTTCATGGAGGAGATGGTGGGAGAATTCTGATCCTCCAGCATTCACAGAGCCTTCTTGTTAGAGAAATCTAAAGAAACACACAGTGTTAGGTGTTTCAGGCCATCTGCCTCCATTTGCAGGCATACACTAACTTGATTGTGGCTACAGGGTTCCAAGCAGTTTATCACCCCAAGTCTAGCTAGGGAGGGTCAGCTCAACCCTCCTCCATCATGGGACATGATCGCTGCTACTCACCCATGAATTTAAAAACTCTAAAGAAAGACTCAACGATGAGCACTGTGGTGCACACCTTTAATCCCAGCACTCAGGAGGCAGAAGCAGGTGGATCTCTGTGAGTTCAAGGCCAGCCTGGTCTACAAAGAGAGTTTCAGGATAGCCAATGCTGTTACATAGAGAAACCCTGTCTTGAACAGTACCTGCCCCCCATTCCAAACAAATAAAAAAAAAACTTGTCAATCCCTGTTCCAATGCATGATCCAGTAGATAATAAGGCTCATCTGGACAAATCTGTACTGTTTACAAGGAAGCCTGCCTGGTGCCTTGGGGTCCAGCCAGCAGTCTCTGAACTCAATGGCAAAGCTCTTGTCCAGTGGGTTCAGCTTTACAGATGGACAAACTCCCTTTGTGAAAAATGCCATGTGTTTAAGCTTACCAACTAGCTATTTCTGGAGATGGGATTTGGCCATCCTACTTCAAACCCAAGCATGTTTGTCTCCAAATGGCCTCCAAGGCCTCCTTTCTGAGTTAGGCTAGCCCCTGATTCTGCAACAGGGAGAAGAATGAGGAAATTGGCTGTTACTTATCTCATGATATAAAGAAAAGCAGGTAATGGGGGGAGGGGAATCCTAGCACCAGAGTTTTCGACATCCATTTATAACCAAAAGCATGGCTATACTAGTTTACTCTGTGGTCTGTGTTTTCTATAAGGTTTATCTGGGAACTTGTTCAGCCCCATCATTGAATAGTATGTACACAGTAGTATTAATTTTTTTATGTGTGTAGCTTGGATTCAACATTTTTTTTTTTTTTTTTTTTTTTTTGGTTTTTTGAGACAGGGTTTCTCTGTGTAGCTTTGGCCTGGCACTCGCTCTGGAGACCAGGCTGGCCTTGAACTCACAGAGATGCACCTGTCTCGGCCTCCCGAGTGCTGGGATTAAGGCGTGCACCACCAATGCCCGGCATCAACATTCTTTTATTAAGGTGGCATCACACAGACAGTGCCATGACATCAGCTGTGCCCATGTTCAAAAGATCGTCCCAGCAAGGCTTGTTGATTGTTGATGTCTCCCATGGTGTTTGGATGTTTTTCAAGAATGAAAAAGCCAGAAAACTTCAGCAACTTACAAATATCTGAGCTGGTTCTTTAAGAAGCTATTTGGGAGGGACCTCTCAGTGTGATTCTAGCCACTGCCTGTCAATCTTGAGTCACATACTTAGGGATGAAGCTAGAGGCAGAAGGCACAGCTTAAACCCTGAACTGATCCCATGGAGAACCTTCAAGATCTGGGACTGTAGTGCCCTGGACTAGCCCCAGGAGTCTGCCTCCTAAGAGTCCCCTCTCTCTGGGACAGACACGCCCTAGACTAGGCCCCCTCTCAGCATGAAGCAGCTACAGCTGTCATTACCTCATTCCCCCACAGTCGTTGGTATCTATCTCTAGGGAGGCACCAGGGAATGAAGGCAAGTTAGAGGGACCTAGTCAGAGAAAGCAAAAGCCGGCTCCCTGAGGTAGTGGCTTCTTTTTCCCAGAAGACATTAGGAGGACAAACAGCGGGAAGGCACCGGTAGGTACCCAAACAGAATCAACAGGGGAAAGGAGAGGACCAGGCCAGATAAAACACCCAAACACCAGAAAGATTCCATTTCCACAGTCCCAGACTTAGGGCTCCTCCCATCCCAAAGGGATAAAGCTGTGACTTTGTTACTTGCTGTTCCTTGGCTGTCTTTCCGCTTTGTTGGTCTCCCCAACCCCCAGGATCAGCAACAAGGTTACCAAGTGATCTTTTTAAAGTAACATTTCCCCTTCTGAATTATAATCTGGAGTGGTGGATTGTCTCAGTGGCTGTGTCTAAAGTCTTAGTTGGCAAATTAATTTCCCTCTGGCCCTGAGTGATCATGATAAGGTGTCTCTTCCCTGCCACAAGCATCTTCTGTGTCACACCTTGGTGTCACAAACAGCTCTCCCAGTCTATACTCTCTTCCAAAGGGTTGTCTTTCTCCCTATGGCTTCCCTCAGAACCTTGGTGGTCATGTCCATCCTCCCTGAGGACAGATGTCACACCTTTATTGGAGCTGTAAGGGCCTGACCATGTCTGCAGTGTCTGCATGAGGCTGCTGAATACACCCTGAAAGAGTCTGACCCAGTGTGAGTTCAAGACTACACTTAACGTCCTAGTGCTAGGGACTGGCTAAGGGGCAACACAGGGCAGATGAAGCATAGGGAGTTAGGACAGGGCAGCCTGGTCGGGTGGTGGTGGTGCACACCTTTTATTCCAGCACTTGGGTGGATCTCTGTGAGTTCGAGACCAGCCTGGTCTACAAGAACCGGTTCTGGGACAGGCTCCAAAGCAACACAGAGAAACCCTGTCTTGAAAAACAAAAACAAAACAAAACAAAAAGTACAGGGCAGCTGGATAATGAAGCTCATGGGTTTTTGCTATGTGCAGCAGCACTCGGAGGGCTGGGAATGATGCTGAGTGTAGAACACTGGGGTCTGTTTGCCTAAGTGACTACCAGACCCCCTCGCTAAAAGTGAGGTGTTATGTCCTTATTCCAACCTGCAGCTTCCCAACTCAGCGGCCACCTCAGAGCATTTGGGGGTGGGGGCAGGGGTCCCGGTTCTTTGGGAAGCGATTTCCATAGCCTGCTCCCTACCCACAGCAGCTCACTTAGAAGGGAACAGGCCCTCCAACAACACAGCTTGCTGGAATCACACACTCAGAGGATGGGTGGAGCCCCTGGAAAGAGCGCCAAGGTCAGGGGCCTGGAAAGGGAGATCAGGGGAGGGGGTGGAGGGACTGTTTAGCTCCTGTTTGTCAAGGGGAGGTGAAGACAAGCAGTGTGTGGTGACCACATGTGACTAAAGGCTTATTGGAAAGGGGCAGGGGTGAAGTCAGGAGCCTGCTCTGTTCTGGGCTTGGACTGTGCTGATTAAGCCACAAATCCACCAGTCCCCAGGAAGATGTCATGGAAATGTCTGGAGGGAATTCAGGGATCTTGGGGAGGGGACTGTCGGCTGGAGAAGAGATAACTCACAGGTTAAGAACATTGGGAGGGGACTGTCTAGAAAGGGGTCAGCATGAAGGCCTCTCTCTACTTTTTTGAATAGGAGGGACTCCCTGCCAATGGTCAGCCATGGCCGTGGTGGGAGCCTTAGGATGGGCAAGGAGGCTTTAGCCAGAGCCTCTACGAGTCTATACCTCCTTGGGCTCCCGGCATCCTCTGAGCTATGGGTGGGACAAAGGACTGCAATGGATGAAATCATTCCCAGGTTGCCACAGCCGCTGCCTCCTCGTTGGCTGCATGGGTTTGTCCTCCCTTTAAAAGGTTGGGCTGGGCGGGAGATACAGCAGTCAAGCTGGGGCTGGACCTGGGATGGGTACTCTGTAAGAGCGCAAGCACAAGCATCCTCAGACCCAGGTCAGAGCAGAGCAGGCAGCAGCAGAGAGGGCCACATTCTCTTGAGGCTGGCCATTCTAGAGCCACAGCCATCACATCCCAGGATAGTCTCTATCAGGAATGTCTGAATTGAACAGACCAATAGACTCCTCTCTACAGGACACAGTGATGAAATGAGGAGTCTTGCTAGGGGCCACCTGCCCTGTCCACTTATCAGATGGTGACCACTGCAGTCAGGCCTTTTCCCCCTTGGGACCCTTCTGGGCTCTATGGGATGCTGAGAGTTACCTCTGGCTTCTGAATCAGCATTTTAACAAACCCCAAGGGTGAGTGCCCATGTCTCCTGAGGAACTGAGCCTCCTGCAGTGGTAGCATTGTAAGAGTGACAGCTGGGCTGATGGAGCCAGACTCTCCACATGACACAAGCCACCAGACACAAGGCAGAAAGCACATCTTGTATTTATTCCCTTGTCAGAGTTCTGGAAATCACTAGAAGACCATTGAAAGCCAGCCCCGTCTACAGCCCAGATAAAGAACGCAGGCAAGGTTCTGGGCTGAAGGAGGCAGAAGGTACAGGCAGGTCTCATGAATGCTGATGTGCTGGGGGGTACGCCTAGGGGTCCATAGGAAGGTGGAGGGCTGCTGGGATCAGCAGGCGATGACAACTGTAGAAGCAGCAGCCCAAGGTCTAGGCAGAGCCCATAGAAGCCTAGATGGTGAGGGTTCCCAGTGCCCACATAAGTGTTGGAAACAGTGTCTTTGGTGCCCCGAGGCAGCTGAGCTGCAGGGTTGATCACTTTCTAACCAAAACTACCTTCTGACAGAAAAGTGAAAGTAGACTGGTCTCCCTGCTGGGCTACCACAGACCCCCACCCCCAGACTCTTGGGGCATGGCTGTGTCCTTGAACTTGGATAGACACTAATTCCCAAACAACTCTCCTGGAAGCACTGTACCCCAGCTTCTTGCACCCCAGGCTCCTTGTGCTTCCTTACTGTAGCTGCCAACTCAAGACCCACACTGACAATTGCTTTTTTTTACAGATATGTAATGCTCTGCAGGAAGAAATGGGCCTCTACACTCATTTAATAAATAAGTCCATGTGAGGAGTCTGCACAGAGACATAGCCAGGCCCTCATAATAGCGATCCTCGAGGTTCTCACTCAGTCCTGCTCCATCCAGGCCTCAGATCTCACATCCGTCAGCACTGAGCAGTGGCCATATAGCAAGCAGGCCCTTACCGCCCAGGACTTTCCGGTCTCTGGGTAGGAAGGAGGGAGAGTGTTTGCCCACAAGTAGGGTCAGATGCTGTGTCCCACTGGGGGTCATGCCTCTACTGCATCTCCCTGGGGCCTGTGCACACCTAGCTTACCCAGCAGCCAACTCTTCGGAACCATCTAGAACCAAAATGGCTAGCTCTGTTCTGGCCAGCAACATAGAGACCCTGGAGGCTGTGGCCAGCTGCTGGGTCTGGTGGCTCCAAGAGTGGCGGGAGTCTTCATAGGTCTTCATGGGCTGCTGAGGCTGGGTGAGTGGAGCTGATCTCCCCCAGCTTTGTGTTCAGTCTGGAAAAGCTAGAAGTTTTCAGGAAGCTTCTGTATCCACAGGCTAGTCAGGCTCAAGGGCCTTCGATGATGAGTGAGCAGCACCCATGGGTGGCACATGTTTTGCTTTGAGCCATGTCCCTTTGATGCTGCAAGGCCAAGGACCCCAAACCTCTAAATCAGCCATTATCACCAACAGCAGGTTCTCTGTAGACAAAAACCCCACACATCCTCCAGGAGGCCCAAGTAGATTGAGACCAAAATAAATAAGGTCGGGCTTTCTCCCCTCCTGAAAGTCCTGAAGGGAAATGGTCACCAGTGGATTTTGTAGGTGCTTTCAGAATGGCTCAGATGCCCTTTTTGGAAGAATCAGGGGCTGAGTCACGTGCTCTGGGGCTCCGGCTGGGGAAGGACCTCCCCACAAATGCCTTCTCTCTGTGCTGATGTCTGCTGGTTGGGAGCCACGCACTGGGGGCTCCGTATTCTGATGTGGCTGCTGCCCACTGGAAAGGTTTCCCTCGGGGTTTCTGAGATCAGTCCTCTGTGCCTCTCAAGGCCAGGGACTCCTGCCCTCCATCACAGCAAATAAGCAGACAGCTCATTGTCCCCTTCTGCCACCAGGCCTGTGGGAGTCAGTTCTGAGGACACATCCAACATCTACCTGGTGGCATCTCACAGAAGCCCCGTCTACATCCTGGGCGGAGTCCTGTCAGGCATGGTCTTGGAAGGAAGGAGAGAAAGGGAGATGAAGGCAGGCCCTGCCTCCTCGTGCCTGCCTGGCAAGCACTTACTACTGAGTCACCCTCAGTGTTTTAATTTTAGAGACACTGAAATGATTCTTCCCAGGACTCGGACTGGTGAAAAGGAAAGGGGCTAAAAACTAGAAGAGTCACATGATTGGATTGGGACCAAGTGGCCTGGAGCTCTTCAAGTTTGTTCCAAAGTGGCCTGACACTAGCTTGTCCAGCTTGGAGTGGGAGGTGTCAGCCATCCAAGCCTGCTCACCTAGGTAAGCAAACAAGCGCCACTCCTACATTGAGGGGCCACACACCCTGCCACCTCTAAGAGGGAAAAGCCAAGTTCGAGGAGATATAGTCACTGAGGTGGCAAAGGCCCTTAGAGTCAGGGCTATCTGGTGGTCAACACCATGCGGATATCTTTCCAGTACTGGGATATGAATCCACACCTCTGGAGACATGAAAGGTCCACCTGCCACTGTGCTGGAGACTGTAGGAGGCACACCTCCACCAAGAGACTGACATGCCAGTCTCAGAGTCAATGGGTCCCCCAGAGCAGAAGAAGGAGGGGCCCAGGGACCTTTGCCAGGGTTCTCTGCCGTACAGGGTCCAGAAGTTTCCACCACAGGGCAGGGTTTCTACATCTATGGACTCATCAGGTATTTAAACTACCAAGTGAAGGTATGAAGGGCCATGACAGCTCAGCCAACCTGCTGCCCCCAAGGCACACTCACCTGTGGGTTCCTGCTCTACAGTCCAGGGACCTGTGGGTCAAAGCAGAGAGGCTCAGGCTTTGTGGGAGAGTAGGCTCTCAGTAGCATCACCCCGTCTGTCCACCCTCTCCCCAAGGCTTCTACTCCGGGCAGAAGAGGGCTCCCATGGGGGCTCCCCAGACAATCTTGGGAAGATGGATTTTAAGGAGCATCTGTGCAGAAACTTTATGTCAGGGCTGGTGAGGAGGCGAGGTAGTTAAGAGTGCTGCTCTTGCAGAGGACCTGGGTTCAGTTCCCAGCACCCACATGGTGGCCCACAACCACTTAAAACTTTAGATCCATGTTCTCTTCTGACTTCTAAGGGCTTCTGCATACAAATGATGCACATAACATACACTCAGGCACACACACACACATAAGTAAAATTTTATATATATAGTGGTGCTTTGTGTCTCCAGCTCAGGGATCCCGGCATAGCCTGGCCAGATCATTGGGGGCCGTAAACAGTTCAGACATTGCTGGTATTGGCCACACACTGGGAATACAAGTGTGTTCATCTACTTCCTGAGTCCTTCCAGCATTTCTAGACTTTCTATGGCCATAGACACTGCACTGTAGCCCATGTGCAGGACATGGTGACTTCGCCACTTTCTGGGCCTGTCCTTGAAGTGCACAAAACTCCAGGCACATGACCTTGCCCATGTCTTAGAGCAGCATCAGTTAGCTTCCACAGAAATGAACTAAATCCTGTCTCTGGGAACTGAACTTGTATCCTTTAAAAGATAAGTGAGAGCATGGGCCTTTAAAGGCTGAGTGCTCTCCAGCCCACCCATCCCACCTCTGAGTGTAGACTCCATTGTGCCCTGGAGCCTGCAATATGAGCTTCTTGCCACTAGTACGGGTCTCTCGGAAACAGGGTCTAAGCTTCTTCTGAGAGGCTTCAGGCTCTTGCTAAGCATGCCTATGCTTTTAAAAGTGAAGTGTAGGAAGCTGTGAAAAACAAAACATCCACAGCAACAGAGTAAATGGTCAACGAGTCTCATGCAAACCTTTATATTGTCTGCAGGGACACCTGCTTCTGCAAACCCAGGCGAAAACGACCCCTGCCACCAGTAGTACAGCAAGGATGATGAAAATGGCCACAGTTTTCTTCTGGCTGTGGTTCTCCTGTGGATCCTCTGTGATCTTGTAATTGTTTCCAGAGTAATTTTCTGCAGGAAAGCGGAAATGGGATGGGTATGTGGCTCAGTGGGTACAATGCTTGCTTAGCATACATTAAGGCCTGGGTTCAATCTCAGCACCACATAAATTGTGTGTGGCAGAACACACCTGTAATCCCAGCACTCCAGTGGTGGAGGAAGAGGACCAGTTCAATGTCACCTTAGCTACACAGTGAGTTTGAGACTAACCTAGGCTACATGAAACCCTGTCTAAGGAAAAGAAATGTGGCCAGGTAGTTGTGGCTCACACCTTTAATCCCAACACTGGAAGGCAGAGGCCAGCCTGGTCTACAGAGCGAGTTCTAGGATGGCCAGAGCTACACAGAGAACCCTGTTTCAAACCTCCCTACCCATCCACTCCCCCCACAAAAGAAAAAGGAAATGAGAAAATCCCCAAGACTTAAAGGACCTTGATGGGGAGGTCTTTTCCATGGAAAGGAAGAGGCAGCAGATTTTTAAAAACTTCGCTGCCATCACGGTGTGAGCTTTAAAACCTCAGGCTGCTACAGGGGTGCTCTTTCAAGTGAGGGTCCCTGTGCTTTTTAGGAAGGATTAGAAAAGAATTTTAAGGAAGGGATAGTGGGAATTCATTTCCACCAATAGTTTCAAAATCTTAGGGCGTGGCTTTGGACGTGATCCCTTAGAAGGAAGAGGAAGGGTCGTACTCGTGAGCACTCTCTCTCTCGGGGTGACAGGCTGAGACCTGACTATCATCCTGCATTGCGGCATCCTGTGCCCCCACGTAGTGTGTGAGTGTCCCCTAAATAAATATTTGTTTATCTTTTACTCAGGCATTCCTGGACTTCCTTAATCCACCCTTCAATTCAGGCTCTTCTGGGAGTGAATCTCTTTGATGTTTGTACAATACACAAGTACCCACTGTGTGAGAGTTCTGTAGCACCAAGTGTGCCAATACAGTCATCACTGACCTCTCCTTACCCCACTGAACCCGAGTTTCTGGCCTCTTCTCACCTGCCTACTCCCTCTGTGGACCACCTATTTGGGATACTTCTTAGGAATAGAACCACGCTTCTGATTATCTGGACTGGCTGGGTTCCTCACCTGGACTGGGGCAGCCATGGCCTCTGGGAAGGGTCATATCTTTGTGGTCTACAGAGGACCCAGCCAGCAGCCAAGCCCAGCTGAATGCCCTGGGGCTGGGGGGGGCACACGTTTTCAAAGGAAGAGAATGTGGGGGAGTGCCCTGGTATTGCCCTCCATCCTGGTCAAGTTCTGTGCCTCTTGAGGTGCACCAGGCCCTGCAGAGCCTCAGTCCTTACTGGTTAAGAGCCCAAGAAACAGCTACTATGGATGGCAGCCATGCTAATCATTTGTCTGGACAGTGAGTAAAGGTTACCGTGACAGGCCTGAGCGGGACTCTATCCTTGCCTTCAGAAACCAAGAGCCCCCCTCCTGGCTACTTTCCATAGGGAGTCTATGCGTGACTGGGCCTCTCCTATCCTACAACCTGGATGCCCCCTGAGTCCCTGCTCCATGGCCTGAGCCTCACCTGCCTGGCTGATGCTGGTGAGATTCTGGTGGAGAACCACATTCTCTATAGAACAGCTAACGTTCACATGGGCCGTCCACGGGATCCGCAAGGTGCTGACCACATCATACAGGCCCAGTTCGTTCAAGTAGACAGTGTTATTCTGCAGAGTCTCAGCTATGAGGCTGTTGTCCGTCCTGTTGATCCAGTACAGGTTGGGCTTGGGGTAGCCATTCGTGGACATGCAGGTGAAGGTGAGTTCCTGCCCTGAGGTGGGGTTACCAGAAGTGCTGATCACAGGCGTGCTAAAGTTTGCTGTAGGGAAAGGAGGTGGTGGTGAGGGGGGGCTCAGAGCAGTGGGGAAGCCTGACCACAGCAAAGCCAAAGAAACCCATGCTGCCCGGCAGTGGTGGCACACGTCTTTCATCTCAGCACTTGCCAAGGAGAGATAAGAGGACCTCAGTGAGTTCGAGCCCAGCCTGGTCTACAGAGTGAGTCCCAGGACAACCAGAACTGTTACACTGAGAAACCCTGTCTCAAAAACTGACATCCCCCCGCCCCCCCCCAAAAAAATTGGATTTCCTCTGTGGCCACCAGGCATGCACATAGTGTACAGACATACATGCAAATACCCACACACATAAATCTTTTTAAAAAAAGAGAAGAAGAGCAGATAGCCAGCCTGCCCTTTTCTCTGCACCCTGGTCTACTGTGTGCTGAACACCCTGTACCACACGCTCCTGCAGTCACCAGCACTACTCTGCTGCCATGTCTCTCCCTTCAGGATGGCCCGAAACCTGAAACTATGGGACATCTTTGTTCCTTTGTTGTCTGTCTATATCAAGTGTTTTGGTTATAGTACTGCAAAAAAAAAAAAGTAATTAGAGCAGCTAGCCATGGAGGGTAGGAGTGTGGAGAATGACACTGAGCTTGTGGGCAGTGACGGCTCCCACACCTAACTCCAGATCCCTCATATGGTCCTAATGTTCCTCAGTGGAGACATACTGCTTCCCCACCAAGGGCCCCCAAACCCTTGGTGGGGTAAGCTTCCCCTTAAAGCCGTCCTCATTTAGGGTTCCAGCACTCCTTACTCCTTGTATATGCATGCATTTGAGAACATGCTGGGGGATGTGCGGGTGCTGTATGTGCCCGTGTGTAAGAGCGCACGTGGAAGCCAGAGCAGAACCTCCATAGGAGCTGTCCACCTGTTTTTAGGAGGCAGAGCTCAGTGGGCAAGACTATCTAGCCAGTAAGCCATGGATCCACCTATCTCTGCCTCCCCAGTGCTAGGACCAAATGCATGCCACTCTGCCTGACTTTATATGGGCGCTGGGATTGAACTAAAGTCCTCACGTTTGTATGGTGAGCACTCTACCGAATGAGCCGTCATCCCATGAACTCAGTTTCTGGTATCTGCTTTAAGTTGAATTGAGCAGCTGAAGACAGGGATAGCTAGCTAGGCAGTTAGTTCTCTGAAATCAGGGGGTCTTGAATTATGGACTCTGCTCAGAGCAGATCTGCAGAGGTAAAGAGGAGCCCACCTCAGACACAGGGATGTTTAGGAGCATCAGGCTGAGTAAAGCCAGTTCTCTGCTTGGAGGGTCTTACCTGCCACATGCAGCCTCACTGTCTCTTTTAAGACATTACTTAAATCTTCAGACTTAAATACAAGGCACGTGAACTCCTGGGAGTCATTGGGGGTGACATTCTGCAGGGACAGAGAGAAGTCACCCTCCTTCATGCGATCCAGTGACAGATTGGCCCGGTTCTTGTACTGGTTGCCCACATACACCTTTGTAGACCCATTAGGTAGGTGGTAAGTCACTGCGGTTGTGGTGCTCTCGATTTGCCAATAGACATACAGATCATTCACGTTGAAATGGCTTGTGTTGGGGTAGACACAGCGGAGCTTCACATCGCTGCCCACCATCGCGTGGATCTCCTTGACTTCACTCTCTGCAGAGAGTCAGAAGTGGCACCATTTATTACTCAAGATCCAAACACTAAACCCATCCCAACCCACCAAGGCAAGAAAGGAATTATCACTGAGGTTCATCTGGAGGGTGGGTGAGGATCTTATAACAATTCAAGTGTGAGGTACAAGCTTCCACCTAGTGCCAACACTGGTCCTTCCCTGGCTTTCGCAGTGTCTGCCTCCCCCCCACCCCCAGCCCTTCCCAAAGGTGGCTTTTATGGTTCACCATGCAAAGATACCAGGAGGGACATTCAACTGACCCCAAGCAAGAAATGCAATGAGAAGTATGGAGTTTGGGGAAGCCTGGGGCTGGAGAGATGGCTCAGAGGTATAGAGCACTGGCTGCTCTTCCAGAGGTCCTGAGTTCAATTCCCAGGAACCACATAGTGGCTCACAACCAGCTATAAAGAGTTTGGGGAAGCCCTTCCCTTTACAACCTCCAACCCTATACATATCAGCCTAGGTGTGGGGACCAGCTCTCTCCAGTTGGGCCTCGGGAGAGGCCAGAGGGGCTGTGGCCGGGGCCTCGCTAATGCCCAGCATCTATGCTTTGCACAGCATGGAGCATCCCAACTTACCAGCGCGCAGGCAGCTGATGAGCAGCAGGAGCAGACCGGGACTGGAAAAGAACCCTCTTGAGAGACAAATGAGATGGTGCTTCTTCCAAACTGGCTGGCTGGCTCCCAAGGCTGGGACACGGTGACACCTGTCAGAGATGTGAACTCGCCTTTAGGAGGACCCTGGCTGGTGTTCCAGAGACCTCAGAGAATACAACCAGGACCATATGCCTCCCCTTCCCCGACCCGAGGCAAGGCCCCAGGGCCTGACAGTCCCCAGACTCTGAAAGACGGTCTATTTGTGTGATGAAAAGGGGGCACTGGGAGCCACTGCCAAGGCTTGTGCCCCCTCCCTGTGACCTAACTTTCCTGAAGAGGAACACAAGACCATAGGAACCTGCATCTAAGGAAATAAGACATAAAGACACCTAGTGGCCCCAAGGGAGGCAGGCTCAGGTGAGTGACAGGGCCATCTGAAACCAAACCTGGCGGGATCCCATGTTGCAGACCCTTGGTGACTGGAATGCTTCTTCCAGACACAACAGTCACTTCGTGTCCTGGGCACCCTTGCCACCTCTTACAGCCAACACAGGAGGCCTTGTGGGGGATATGGAGGGGCGGGGTGAGTAGGGGGAGGGGGAGGGTAACGAGGGAGTGGTGAAGGGGGCGGTGCTTCAACCTACTCTAAAGCGATCTTGAATACTTTAGCCAGCACTTGCTCAGTCTCCCAAGACCATCTGTTCTATGCAGACTGTTGGGTAAGACCCTGCAGTGGGACATCTGAAATCTCACCCCTCCCCCAAACAGCAGTCCTAAAACTCTCAGAAGATTGTCCAAGAGAAACCCTAGGCCAGGGGGCAACCTATCATGCCTCAAGCCTAGGGATCCCACACCCAAATCATGACAGCCACTGGCCATCAGGGACTCCATAACCTTCAGGTGCTCCCTTTTTTTCTCCCTGGAGACTCTGTAGATAGGACAACTGCGGACAGAGGGTCTCCCCAAGTAGCCAAGGGGGATGGAGTGCCTGAGGGGATATTTTAGTGCAAAACTGAAACACACACAACCCACACACA